CCATAGCCCATATCAAAGGACACTTTGGCTAGCCAGTGGGCGCAATGGTTGTTGTCCCTGAGTGTGTATCCCATTTTAATATTCCAATATTTCTTAAGCCACTCTTTGGTTCTAGAAGATACGCATGAGTCTCTAGCAGGATCATGATCCATTTGAAGGATATTAAGCGCTTTTGTTGCATCAGTCTCCAGGCAGATTCTACGGGCTCTGTTTCCCAGGCAAGCTAGAGGGATTTTTTACTTAAAACATGTGTTGAATATGTTATTTGAGCTTAGGTCATTATCTTCAGAACCCATTTATTATGGAGAAACCCTAGACTTCTTTAGGACTCCTGATAGGGCGGAGAGAGGGGAGGCTAGGGTGGGCGGCAGCCCCCCTCCCCCCATCCAAAAAAATTGAAAAAAAAAATTAATGGAGATGAAAGGTCAAACGTTACAATTAAATGTGCTTCTTTTAAAAGTTCTGGTTTGAGATTCAAGTTGAAATTTACTTCTAGTTCACCTAATAATGTGTATGTGTTATGTGTAACTTTTTTTGCATTTTCTTTTTTATTTTCTTATGCTATATTTTGATTAATAAAAGCTTTGACCTTTTTGCAACCCTTTTGCTCTCTTTTTTTTTGGTGAGGACTCTCTTTTCATTTGCATGGTTGTATTTTTCTTTGTGTAGTGGTTTCATATAAAGAAAATGAGTTTGCTCTAACTTAAAAGATTCATTTTTTGGGACAATTTGATTGTCGTCTTTTATTTTACTTTTTTAAAAAAATGTAGTTAAAAGGATTGTTTTAGTTAAGACACTCTCTTTTTTTAATTATTTCTTTTTAAATAATTTTTTATGTCTGTTGAACCTGACCAACAGTACATTTTTTCAGTGTTTCAGATGTTGTTAAGTGTTAATATTTTGGTATGAATATATCTAAATGAGTTCCTATGAGGTCAATAGATACAAAAAATACTTATATTATATAAGATAAAAAATTAATTTTCGCTCCCCCTCCCCTCCAATCCTGGCTCCGCCACTGGCCACCACTTATAAGGAGGATCTTCATTCTCATTAATGGAATCACTTATAAGGAGGGTCTTCATTCTCATTAATGGAATCAATGAGTATCGATCCTACCATATATACTACGCATATAAATATTACTTACTTGAGCGTTGAAATGCCTCATATATGCATCACTTTCTTGTTCCATCGAAGCACATAGAGAAACTGCTTGCAACCACTATTAACTTACTCAATAAAAACTCAAACACAAACTCATATTATATCCAGATATATACTTCTAAATAGAACAAAAGTTACCAACTGTTCGACAAGTACGATGCGTAGTTTTTAGTGCTCCTTTGTGTGAATAGAATCAATAGATGCTCAATTTCCGCATAAAGCTACTAACAGGCAGTGCTCTTTTGTTTCAGTGAAAACTTTTGTATTTGTACGTATCTATTTGACTATTTGGTTTGTGAAAAAATAAATGAAAGAAAGAAAGAATGAAAGAGCAACTTTCATAGTCTTTCAGCATTTTTTTTAAGGTCCTTCTACCAAACTTTATTTATTACGTTAATGGAAAGTAGTTCGTGGTTATGAGGATTAAAAGAACAATAAATAAAAGAGAAAGATAAATAGGGGTCAGACATGGTGAAAAAAAATTATTGGTTAAGTGAAAGGAAATATTTATTATTTGAGTAAATGTTAACAGTACGTGCAACTTTATTGCCAAAATAAATAAAACAATATATAATACTAATAATTTTTTTAAGTAAAGCTAAAACAAATTTGTTATATTTCAACTTGAAAGATTTTGGAAAAAGCTTTGTTTTGTACCAAAAATGTCTTTACACGAGGAGCAAATCCGTCAAGCCAATCAAGCGAAATTGGAGGAAAAGTACATTGTACCAAAATTCCTATCAAGAAAGTCGTTTAACCCAAAATTTCAACGAGTGATCCTCCTAAAACAACACAATGAATGGTTTATGATAATAAAAAGTAAACGATTGTGAAAAACATGTTTTATTTGATAGCCATTGAGAATTATCCTTTTTTAAATTGTAATTTTTCAAAGTGTATATGAAACTAACATTAAATAATAACCATTTACATTATAATTTTGAATTAAACACTTTTTTTCAAAAAAATCTGTAAACAATTAAAAACTGTTGTATTCATTAATATTAAATCGTTTTATATTCACAACTCTTGACGTATATTACAGGTATTGAAGTAAATTTTAGTCTAAAATTTTTATTAACTTGAGCTTTGGTCGTTATAAGACTTTTTATAATTTTTTTCTATATTAATATTTATTTAATTAGTAGTCTTTATCATTAAATATTCTTTTTTTTATTAATTTGAATTTTATTTATTATGATTTCTATTAATTTTAAAAAATATTTGAAGGAGGAGAGTCATAATTTTCAACCGGCATGAATCAAACAAAAGTCAGTTCATGGCTATGATGCACTGACATTGACACGGGACACGACACGCCGACACATTAATTCTAAAAAATGTCATATTTCGACACGTTTTGATATTAAATAATACTTTTAATATATATAATATTTTATAGTTAATACATATAATAGCCCATAACAAGTCATATAAACAATCAAATATTCAAATTTCAAAACATAAATATGAACAAAAATAATTTTTCGTACATTGTTAATTTTTCGTACCTTGTTAATTTTCATGTCAAATTTCATAACAGAAAAAATTTATTTATAAATTATTTTTTTATGTTTAGTTAATAAAATAAAATTGGATACCAAAAAAAAAATTAGACCTAAAAAAATTGTATCGGAAGCGTGTCAAAACGTTGACCACGTGTCGAAAAAAGCTGATTGCGTGTCAGAAAAGTGTGTCAGAACATGGACCGCGTGTCCCAAAATATTAACCGTGTGTCGATGTTTGACCCGTGTCAGACATGTATTTTTTTCAAATTTGTGCGTGTCCGTGTTTTATTGGTGCGTGGTATACAATAAATTTTTTATTTATTACCGACAAGTATTACTCGGTCAACTTACAAACACATTAATAATTTACATTGTTCGTTTGTTCAGAAACATGCTATTTACACTATCATAAGAATATTCTTTGAGCCTGTTTGGATTCTCTTATTTTTAAGCTAGAAGCTACTTATAAGCTAAAGCTAAAAAAAAGAGCTTAAAAAAAGAAGCTAAAAGCTGTTTGGAAATTACATGAAAATTTTAGCTTAAAATTTACTTAAAAGCACATATTTCAAGAAAATTATCTGTCTCTATCTTTATCACTCTTCATTTAAAAAAAAGCACACAATTCAAGAAAAAACAGATAAGAGCTTAAAAAAAAGCTCCTCCTATGAGCTTTTAATTTTCAGCTTTTTTCTTCATTATAGAAAAAAGAGCTTTTCATTATAAGAGCTTTTTCCAAAACCTGTTTGGCCTAGCTTATGCTTATAAGTAGCTTCTAGCTTAAAAAAGAGAGGATCCAAACAGGCACTTTAAAACATGAGCCGAATAATTAGTACATACATAGTTTCAATTAAGCTTTAAAAAACAACTCGCAATTAAATTTTTGTTGCAAACAATTCTAAATATTAAATAACTTAATCTAAATTTTCACTTATAAAATGTTTAGATTTGAAATTTAATCTAATTTTTAAAAAAATTCTCTTAATGAAAATTTATTTGCAAATCATTTTAAATACAGAATAAATTATTCTAAACGAAAACTTACCATGATCCGTAATAAAAATTATTTTAAAGTTGAGAAAAATCCGGGATTAATGTTAAAAGTAGTAATCAGACAACTCACTCGAGGAGCGAAGTTTGTGTGTTTCTCAGGCACAAAATATTTGGTGGGATTGTGGTAAGAGAAAAAGAAAAAAGGTTCAGGAGAGAGGTGAGAGAAAAAAAAAATTAATTCAAGTGTCAAAAGGACCGTGGTAGTCTTGCATCACATTACAAAATTCCTACACAACGCATGGAAAGTAGAAACTGCACTGTTGTCCCAACAGTTCTTGGGATTAATGTTTTGTTAAAAATAAATTTTTTTTACATACACATAAATATATAATTATTAATATTTTACAATACAGGATACAATTCATATAATATGATATGATTCACAAATTCAGTGATACGTATCACAGAGTATATCAGAAAGAGATTTGTATCGAATGATACGATATTATATCTTATGATACGATACGTTACGCATGTCATACAATACAAAAATTAAATGTTATCAAAAAAAAAAAAAATCAATTTTTTTAATTTTAATATAAAAAGAAATAAAGATTTGATTTGCTATTTAAATTAAAAAAAATCCAAAAGAATTATTTTTTGAAGAGAATAATGGATTAGTTATGTCACTGATAGATGATGTTGATAGTGATAGTAGTGATAACATTAGTCTTAATGATTGATAAGAAGGAGAATAACTGATTTGCCCTTTAATTATTTATGTATTTTGTTTATTGAATCTTTTTTAAAATTTAAATTTATATAATATTAATTATATTGTATATTTTTAAATTATTTTTTATTATACTTCTATATCTTACTATTCAAGATATATAATACAAAAAATGGACTAAATAATATTGATTCAATAATCTTGCATATATAGACCCTACATAATTTTTTTTTATGTATATAAAAGATATGAAACATTAATCCATTTATTTATTTCCCTTTCGTTAATCGTTCATTATTAAACGAGAACAGATCCTCTCTCACCACAATCAGAAACACCCAACAGCCTCGCGCCACTTTTCACACACAGCACAGGGCTTTATGCCAGGCTGGGACTTGTCATTACAGAAGAAATACACCTGTTGCTTCCGAACTCCTTCCGTGCATCTGTCGTGTGACCCACGCGTTCAATTGCAATAATTAATCCCTCTACTATTATATTAATTCCATTAACAAAATTAGATTGTTACAGGCTTACAGCAACTGGAAAAAAAAAAAAAAGACACACAAATAGTCTACTCATTAATTGGTTTTAATCTCGCAGCAAACGAGACACCGAAACTGTGATACTATATATATAGAATATAGAAGAGAGGGAAATAGCTTGTAAAAAAAAATGGCAAGTGGAGAACAGAAGATAGACTATGTGTTCAAGGTGGTGCTGATAGGTGACTCAGCGGTGGGGAAGTCACAGATACTAGCGAGGTTTGCGAGGAATGAGTTCAGCTTGGACTCTAAGTCCACTATCGGAGTTGAATTCCAAACACGCACTTTGGTCATCGATCACAAGACCGTTAAGGCTCAGATCTGGGACACTGCTGGCCAAGAACGGTACTCTTACCTTCTTTTTTCTACTATGTAACTCTTTCATTTGAATCTGTTATTTTCATCATAACCGTTCGTGCGTGATCTGATCCTCGTGGCAATGGATCATGTGGTTTTTAGCTGATCTACTCTAATGATCATGTTGTGTGGCCTATAAAATTGTGCTTCGATGTTATGTTAATTAATTTTGAAAGTTCAACTGTGAGTAGATCAGAATGGAGAGAACGACAGAGTAGAATATATACTGCTATATATGAATCTGTTACAATGCACTAATTACTAACAGAAACAGTTGTAACTAACTAGATACTCTGTCAAATTCGGTTCCGGTCTATGAAGGCTTTTGTGTTTGTTGTCAATGATGGACACTTGGTGGTCAAAATTATGTTCATCTTCAAATGTTTTGCTCGTGGGAGGTATTAGATCATGTCTTTGACTTGAATAAGCATAGACTTTCTTTGATGATATGGTTGGAGTGTGTTATGTATTGGTATTTCATTTGATGCATGACTAAAACACGAAAAGGAATAACAGATAGGATAGAAAATCTACTCGGCAGATTATCTGGAATTTACTCCAAAATATGGAAAATTATGTCCAATTCATAAAGTGAAAATAGATGGTGTACCATTTTACAGTTCACTATCAAGTAAACAAGGATTACCTCCACTCCACACTTGTTAGTCGGGTTTAACGGGGAGTGGTTTTTTTTTTTTATCAAGTAAACAATCTTCACTACTTTCTTAATCCATATAGTATCCTTATAGAACTTTAATTCTTTCGTTTGATTACTTTTCTGTCTTATTCATACTTTCACCTTAGAATGAGTGACTTTTATTCATGATTTTAAGTTGCTGTTGTGGTTGCGGTTACAGTAATTGCGGGCTTTGCAGCCACTACATTGGACGTTGGGGTTATTGGTAACTGAATTTTTTCAAGTTTGTAAGGGTGAGGTTTTTATTTTTAAATAAAAGTTGCAATGGAATGAAGTTGAGGCCACTTCACCATTGCTTTGCAGATTTTTTGGGGAATGATGTTGCATAAAACTCTATAATCCATTAGATTTAAATTTGCACTGCTGCTATTGTCTATGTTATGATAAATTCTTCTGCAGATAGATCAACTTTACAGGAATTGATATTAATGCCATTTGATATATCATTGCTTATCAAGTTGTTGACTTTCAAGCTGATGTACCCCTTCCTTCTGTTCTTCCTGCCCGACTTATACTATACGTTCTCAATCTGTATGACAATAAATAATTATACAAAAGGAAAACAAAATCAGATTTAGGAACAAAGCATGCATGTGTGAGTTTTGGTAATTTTTGGGAGGGGATTCCAGTTGATGATTGTGTATGCATAATTGCATAAGTTAAGTTGTTTAATGTAATCTGATGCCAGGCTTTACAAGAGTGTAGAGATACGAGTTTCTTAAACTGGTTAGGAAGATATAGAATCTCATTCTAATTTCCACTTTTAACTTTTATGTCACCATTCTCCATTGTGTTGAGCTTTTAAAGTAACTAATTTTCCGATATGGAGTACAGCTGAAGCTCCAGTTTAAAACTACCGTGCACCTTGAGATTCAGCACACTCAGACAGAATTACCTATATGACAGACTATCCATGGAAGTGGCTGCATGGACAATCCATGCAAATGGTTCATTTAGTTTAGTGTTAAGTCATTTGGCTTGATTTTATTGATACAAAGAGTGTTAATATTATTCTGGTTAAATTGTACCTGCTAATATAATTAATATGGACATGTTCTCCTCTTTCCAGTTACTTTTTAATCAACTGTGTTTAGAATAGAACTAATTTTTCCTGCATAAATTTTAAATATAGTTTGTGCTTCTTTACATTATTTTTATCATATCTTCATGGTTCGAATGGTTGACTTACAAGTACATTAAATACCAAATTGCAGTTTGCACTGATATTTCAATGATTTGTGGTACAGATACAGAGCAGTTACAAGTGCATACTACAGGGGTGCTGTTGGGGCAATGTTGGTTTATGACATCACTAAACGTCAGACCTTTGATCACATACCCCGTTGGCTAGAAGAACTACGCAACCATGCTGACAAGAATATAGTCATCATTCTTATAGGAAACAAAAGTGATCTTGAGAACCAGCGTGATGTACCCACCGAGGATGCAAAAGAATTTGCTGAGAAAGAAGGCTTATTTTTCTTAGAGACCTCAGCACTAGAAGCAACTAATGTTGAAACAGCCTTCTTGACTGTCTTGACCGAAATCTACAACATTGTCAACAAGAAAAACCTACCTGCTGATGAAAGTCAGGGAAATGGGAACACGGCGTCTCTGTCTGGCAAGTCGATTCTTATTCCCGGGCCTGCCCAGGAAGTCCCTGCTAAGAGGAATATGTGCTGTCAGGCATCCTGACTTTATTTGTAATTCGTTTCAATTTAGCATATTTCATGGTTCTATGTTCCTATTACCAAATTTTAAAGGTTTGGCGCATTTCCTTTTGTATATTTAAATTTTAATTTGCTTGGGTTGTTGAGTAAAGAACTAACAATGGAGGTGGATACAAATGCTTGGGACAGTTTTACATGAATTTTGCAGGTGAATTGAATGGACTTGGAATGTTTTTGAATGTGAAAATGTCATGACTCGTGAGTCGTGGTAATAGTGTTATATATCGATATTTGTATACTGAGGTCATTTCGTAAGCTCTGAAATTATGGAAATGCTGACATGGGTTCTTTATAAAAACAGAACTTACATTATTAAGCTTGAAGCTTAAAGATTGGCTTAACAATGTACTAATCATCAAATTATCAATCTTCAGGTATTAATATGTAGATAATATCATTTAGGAAGGACGATGAGTAGATATGACCGGACTTTATGCGCGAAAGTAGTAATATGCTTCTCAATTTGGCTAAAACCCACCAGATTTATGTAACTAGTAACCTGAATGAGCTTCGAACGACTTTCCAAAATTAAAAATGATATGCAGGTTTTAATAGAATGGGAGCCATAATGTCCAGAAACAATTTATGTAATCTTGCAAAGCTATAGAATACTATTAATAAAAATATGAACCAACATCTGTGCGTTAGAGAATAGCACCTTTAGTCTCAAACCATATTTTGAGTAAAACTGTCTCGTACTGAAACGAAAACACAAACATGACATAGACGGAATTACAAAAACAAGCAATTTTATCACTAATGATTCATGGGTGAAGTAAAAAATCACCATTTTTGTAAATGCAATAGCAAAAATATCTGTTAAGTAGTCACTCTTTTTTTTAGTAGATAGTTAAGTAGTCACTGACTGCCAGCAACTTTCACATCATCATCATTTTTACCGTTCAACTCCTCTACAGGCTGTACTTCACTTCCCACATTATTAGAGGAATTGTTGATGTGCCCCGAGGAGCCCTTTTCTGTGTCTAGTCGTATTAAAAGCCTTTCAAGTAGTTCTTGGCAGTCCATTGCAGTAACCATCACGGTCAATCTCGCCCTACCCCTCCAGCATCCAATGGCTATTGTTGAGTTATCCACTTTGAGGGACTCTGTAGCAACTTTGTTCCCTGCAGAAAAGGAAAAGGCCCCGTTAACAGAAATGTCGATCTCAATGGACCTTTTCTACAGCGTGGTGATACATACCTTCACCCAAAGCAACCACACAACAGCCTGGCATTAGATTTGCTGCCTTTTCACCAAACTCAGCATCAACAAAATCCCCAAATTTTACGTCTTTGTTCTGCAGAAGATGCTTGAAATCTACGGGAGATGCATGTAGAATCTGTTTGGTTATGTATGGGAGAATAAGGGGCAATCCTTCAGATGATATCCGAAAAGCACATGGTGCAGAGCTACCTTCTCGTGCAGTTTGTCTTTCCTGTATGACGAGAGCAAGTATATTTCACTCGATTATTCAAAAGAACTAATAAAAAGCTCATTTCTCACTAACAGTCGTGGACTAACCAATAAATATTTCCACTACAAGTAAAGATGATGAGTATCACAGTTGCCTTAACTTACTAATTTAACAGCGTAGATTGTGACAATAACTTGTGGCATGCATACTATTTGTGATATTGTAGAATGCTCCGTAAAGAAATTAGGTTAGTAAAACAGTTCTAAATGAAATATGTACATATTATTTTACACGTTACCCTTAGCAATTATCATATCTCAAAATGAAATCAGAGTAGTTGACTATAATTCATATCCAATAAAATTCAACATGTTCTTAAAAATTGAGCTGATGAAACCAGAAAAGAAATGACCAAGTACTGAACAATTTCAGAAACAACTCATGAAGTACTGTTCTCTAACAGTCAAACTCTAATAGAAGCCACAAACAATTGTATAATCAGTATCAACTTCTTCAGTATCAAAATGTTAAAAAAAGTTCATACAGTTTACTTTTGCTAATCAAACTCTGATAAAATCTGTCTCCCATGCCTAGATGGATCTCCTGTGCCTACACAGTCATCTACCAACCTTTGTTCTTGGGCCTTTTCTAATGGTGAGAATAGATCATTATTATATACAGACATCTTTTTCTATTTAAAATTAGGAGCATAGGTGATAATTAAATCAACCACATAAAATAATAATACCAACAATAAAATATACTTACAAACATCTTCAGGCCAATGGAAGTTATTTTAAGTTGCTGCCCACCTGAGAAGTTCAACTCAAGAACATCCTTGACTGACTTGGAAATATAGTAAATTCTTTTCACATGACTTGTATCATTGTTTCTTGTAACAAGGTGACCGTTGAATGGAAAATGCTCATCGATCCCATAAAAAGCCCTTATACTATTAATGATTGCTTCATCTTTGAGAAAGACAACAGGGTCAACACCTCTCCATTTGCCTTGAATTTGAAGCTTTCTTTTGCCTGGAACCTTCTTTGCCATGTTTTGTATATTATGGGGCTCTTGAGTTTCCTTGGCATTCTGTTCTTCACATGTAACAGGACTGACTTCCAAATCTTCGGTATTGGGTTCATCGTCATTTACATTTTCCTCTGCAACTGCTTCGAAGACCTCATGTGCACTTGCTAATGAATTAATCTGCAGTACTTGTGCATCCTTCAGACTCTGGTCTGCTGGTTCTACATACTGCTCATCAATTTCTATTTTAGGTTTTTCCGGAATTGCTGAGGAAAGAAAACAATTACAAACCTATTATGGGAAGCAAAAGTCTGTGTCAATATGAACATAAACAGAAATGATAACTTGGAAGTATTTCCCATGTTCACAAGAATTTCCTGATTATCGTTTAACAGAGTCAGAGAGAGAGACAAATGTAATCAGATGACAAATTACCTGGCAGAGGGGAAACTTTTTGCAGTACAGCAATGAAGAAGGCTCCAGTGTTCTGATCCTGAGGCACTATCCTCATGCAATGCTCTAGAGGAAACTCAGAAACTTCCTCAGCAGACTCAGGCATCACAGGATTCTCTACTGCTTGAATACCATCTTCAGCATTTCCATTATCACCGTTAGTAATGTCATCTCCCATGTCAACATTACAATTACTGTCAACAAGATCCTGATAGCTTTTGCCAGAAGGAAACATACTGGGGAGAATTACACTTCTACGAAACTTAGGAACATCTTTGTAAGAGACCAACCATGTACCCCTGTCATTTACCTGCATCTCTCCAAAATCAAACACCATTAAAAAATTTTAAATGCATATTGCTGTAAGACAAACTTAACCTCTTCTACATTTTAAGCCAAAAGCTGAATCACATGCAAAACCTACAGCTTCTGCTGGAATACATGTTCAAGTTGGACATGGATAAGAATTTTCTGTTCACGAAGTTTGAAACTTTATTTTTTACCATCCACAATAATGTGGACATAACTTGATGGACATCCAACTGATCGAATATCAGAAATTGGATTAGAAATAACGTACTACCAGACATATTCCAAACAAAAGCCAATCAGGAAAAAAAAAAATCCCAAGTCCATCATATGGCAAGGAATAACACCTATTCATAAATTTCAACCCAGCACTCTCAAGAGTTGGAATTGGAAGAGACATAGGATACTAAGAAAGCCAAATACCTACAAATTTCCTTCAAAACCATTCAGGGTGTCTCATCACATCATGTGAAAGGGCATTATGTCCTAGAAAATCCATGAAGATGAGATACGCACTAAAACTTTGACATGTATAGGTAGGCGCAGCATATTTTTTCCTAATATTACATGTATTATCTTCAAAACACTGACTTTTCAAAGAAATAGATGGTCAACTGGTCACTGCAAACACAACACAAACCTTCCATCTCTTGAGACCTGACCGACGAATGAGTTGCGGAAGCTCACTAGAGACATCAAGAAGTTTAACAGACCCTCCACACCTCTGCAAAACCTGCAACACGAGAGAACAATAAAAAATATATATAGAGAGAGAGAGAGAAATTGAGCAGAGCTCCTCACTATATAAAAAGCCAAAAGATACAAGCAATGTTGATGTTAATCTCTAAAGCATGGATACACTGATTTCTTAAGCATACCCCTACGAAGCATGCATATGCCCCAGTAAATACCTAGTACGAACTTTATCTTTTTTTAACTTTTGAAAATGAGTACGGCTTGGGATGGCTAAGTATGGGCTTACAAATTATGCACAAAAAAGCAGTGTTTCTCATGATCTAGACAATTCACATCTTTCAATTCTTCCTTTTCTAGCATAGCTTATGGTGGCCATTTGCAATATTCGGTGGCAATTCTGCACTTTCCAGCATTGACACAGTGGTCATTTGTAGTCTCCAGCGATTCTAAATGAAATGGGGTGAGTATATGTTCAGCTGTACTAAATGAATATCTTGCATAGATGAAACAAATAGATAAAGAGGCTCCTAAAAAACAAGACAATGCAAGTCCCTTTACTTATTGGATTTACAAATTTTAACCAACCAATAGCTGATATGTATTTTGATGGGAGCAAGAGAAGAGACAGTGGAGGACAATTAGGAAGAGAGCATTTATCATGTGAAATAGCTAGTCTATTTTATATTACTGATTTACTCAATGTTGCTAGAAATCCTTATGTTGTTAGTTCATTCATATATGCTGCAAACACATCTGTCTTAGGTTTCTTCCACATAACTATAATGCTATAAGAACTAAAACATTGCAAATAAAACAATCCACCTGTTGAGGTTACTTCAATCTATCAAAGACACTTGGCTAATGACTATAAAAATGTGTAAGTATAGTGACTAACGGTTAGATTGATGCACAAAGAAACTCCATGACTGCCTCCAATTCAGGACCTATACCCTTGAAGGCTATTGATGGTTCAAGTGAATACTAGAACAAACATCACATTGCTAATCTGATTTGTCCACCATTGGTGAGGTCAGACCCCAAAATTGTTGTCCAAATTATTACTAATAATGCACCTGTTTGCAAGGCATCAACACATAACCCATGAATTATCACTAATAATTAATTAAGGATTATCTTGTATTGTGAGGGCAAACTAGACACTAAATCTTATGCATAGTTAAAAATTTATTACTTTTAGAGTTACTATGTTTCTCACAGTACATGGATAAACCATAAATTAATATTGAACTTACATATTGTAATATTTATTAATGTCATGCATCAAGTGTCTATCTTTGGTCCATTTCTAACCACCCCCTGTTGAAATTAATTAGTAACCTCTTCACTAGCTAAAAAATTAGAGGAGTTACCATTGGATGTTAATCCTCCTTGCAATCCCAATTGTCATCTACTCTTACCATAAAAAAAGTTATTTGGCCTTTAATTGTATCCATCCAATTCTGAATGGCATCTGCTCCGAGGCATTCAAAATTGTTTCTTTCAAACAAATAGCCTTTTGAACATCACCTTTAAAACGAGATCAGTATTCGTTGCTAAATATAGATCAGAGAATGGAGACCGCAATTAATGGAACTCAGCTAGGGGTATAAATAGGCCAGGAAAGACTTTGACATAAATAGTCCATGCCTACGTAACATATTTTGAGTCTATCACGACCTATTAGCTTAACGCAGGCTAAATTATAGGCCTGACCTATTAGCTTGTAATTGTAATAGGCCTACAGACTTCTAAGCCTATGACTATCAGGCCTTTTGCAAAATTATAGGCCTTTTGCTTAATTACATAATAAAATGAGTATTATGCCAATGGTATGCAAGTTCTTAAATAGTATGAAATAAGAGTATTACCAATAGCACCCTATTATTTCATATCGAAAATCGACTATGGAGATTTTCATACACACATATGTAATTAGACTACTCCATCAAAACTCGATATATAGCTGACATTGTCAACTTTATATGAGCAATTTAATATCATGTGAAATTGGTTCATCGTACATAAAATAAATTAAATTATATTTTTCTTGACATTTATCCTAATATCATCAAATTGTAAAACAATTTCACTTACTTAAATTTTACACCTTTTTACTTTTTCTTCAAATCATACTTAGTGTGCAGTTAATCTCTACCACAAATTAATGTTTGAATGACCTCTTCAGTTAAGCTAGCACGATAATTACCAATAACTCTTTCTCCAACACTAAATGCAACTCTGGTGCTACAATAAAAATTAAAACACCTAGTATGTCTTTGTCATCTTTGATAAATTTCAATACTTTAAGCTATTTTTCTTCTACGACCCAATATATTAAAGGAAGGATGAGTTTTCATCATATATATGAACAACTTCACGATAAGATCTTAACTCTGATTTTACTTGGGGGACAGCTTTCTTTCATGCACAATACTTGTGATTTTAGCAAACCAAAGACAAATGTAGAACTTATTGATGCTTATCATACTAGCTTAGCTTAAGAGACAATCCAAACATTAATTTGTAATGGCAAATGGCTACGCAACAAGATTTGAAAAGAACATAAAAGGTATAAACTTAAGTAATTAAAATTATTTTACAATTTCATGAGATGTGGATTAAATGTCAATTAGAATCTAATTTAATTTATTTTCTGTGCAGTATGAGCCAACAATACATGACAGCAAATTGCTCATATAAAGTTGAAAAAGTTAGCAACATGTATTTTGATGAAGTAGTTAAAGTAGTTATTTATGTATGAAAATCTCCATAGCCAATTTTCTAAATGAAATAGGCCAGACCCATAGTTATCAAATGCGGATTGCGGCCTGATACGGCCAACCCTGAAAACCGCTATAGCGTTATTGCGGGTTGCAGTTGCGGAAATAGCAGAAAAAATATAGAGTAAACACCCTTTTTAGTCCCTGGCAATATCTACGAAGTTCTTTTCAGTCCCTGGCAATAAAAAAGGACCAAATTGGTCCCTGAAAGTACAAGAAAAGGGTCACTCTACATATTTGGGAGTTGACATAAGAACTAACATGGCCCTTTTTTTGTAATTTCAGGGATCAATTTGGTCCTTTTTTATTGCCAGGGACTAAAAAGGACTTCGTAAATATTAACAGGGACTAAAAAGGGTGTTTACTCAAAAATATATTTATTAAAAAAACAAATTATATGTATATATATATGTGTGTGTGTAACATAATAAATTATTAAAAAAATAATAACACCCAAAAAAAATACAAATAAAAAAAATATAAAGATAAATAAAATAAATAAAATAAATAAAGGCAGAGTTGACATGTTACCTCTTAGTAATAAGTGTCCAAACTTAAGCTATAGTTGTACTACCTTTAGTTGTAACTATACTTGACTGATTTACCAGATTTATCTTAGTTACTTTAGTGTTTTACCTTAGTTACCTTTTAATGATACATTTTTTTTTTTGGATATAGAAATAGTTTTACCCACTGTTACTATAATACTTGTGAATCACTTTTCTGACAAATGTACTTTTCTTTTCTTTAAATAAAGATAGATTAGAATCTCTTTCTCTCTCACTTTTTCTCTTTCATCCGTTCTCTCTCTCACAGCTTCTCTTTTTCTCCTTCATCTGTTCTCTCTCTCTTACTATTTCTCTCTCTCTCACTCACTATTTCTCTCACTCGAAGCTTTGCTTCTTCGTTCATGGCTTCCACATTGAACTTCTCTACTATAAGAGAGAAGTAGAGAAGAAACGAGCGCAATAAAGAAAGCAAGAGAGGCAGAAGAGAGACGCACAACAGAGAGGCAGAAAGAGAGAGTGGGTTAGGGTTAAAACCATAAAAAGACACTATTGCGGTGAGATTTGGCCGCAACGGCCGCTATTGTGATTTGGTGCGACGCGACGCAGATGGTTGCGACGAAGCTCCGCAAAGCGCAACTGGCGCGGCTTGCGGCGCAATAGCGCCGCTATTGACTACTATGGCCAGACCTATAATTTAGCCTGCATCAGGCTAATAATCAAGTTAGGCTCAAAATATTCTACATAGGTCTGGCCAATTTAGACCCCTAACACTATAAATCATCTTATTATCTGGTGTATTCTTAAGTGTACAAATGTTTTTCAGAGCAAGATTAAACGTGTGCAGTACACCTAGTGTCCCAAGAATAAGAGGATGGATTGATTCCACAATTGATCTAGTCGCTTTACAAACAAATTAGTAATCATTTGAACAAAATTTTGTGATCTAGATTCATCAAAGGGGGACAAAATGTAACACATACCTAAGGCTTGCCCATACCAAGTGCCTACGTGGTAGAAGTAAGCTTAAGAAATCAATGCACCCATGATTCAAAGGTAATTAGTCATTTAGTTGATCTTAAGATATCAAAGCACTTTTTTGAGAAAAGTTCACAACTACGGTGGCTGCACTAAAGTATAGAAAATTCAAGGTAGAATACCTCTGCAATCACAGCTTCATTCTCAATAGGGTTCATTGAGCATGTTGAATAAACCATTCTTCCACCAATTTTAAGTAAAGATATACCTGAGAAAATCAAAATAGCTGTTGAGATTGCCAAAATCATCTTAAAATCCAAGTCTCACAAACCCTAGCTCATTCTATTAAGCTAAGACAATAAATATAAGTATTTTTTTACCATAATAATCTGTCTTCAAAATTATAGAACTAGGCAACAAGAGGAAGTCAGTTCAAACTAAATAATATGAAATTAATATTTGGTGTAAAAAATGCCTTCCATCTCCAAAAGACACACAACAAATGTGACACGTTGAGTAATTGCTAGTTTGGTCCTTCATGCTCAACAAAATGCAAGTCGGCCCAGAAACATAGAACAATAATTTACAAAGCAAACTTGATCTCGAAGCATAGGTAGACTTACGCAATCTTATTATCAACCTTTCCTTTTATGGTGACAAAACTTTGTAGGGTGAGGGAAGGCTCTCCTCATTCTAAGGCTAGGACAAAGACAAACCACCAATCTCAGTAAGCATATACGATGAAATTACATATTGCCTACTAGCAGAGACAGAGACCCTTGGGTTTGAACCCGAGTCATGCAAATTTCATGAGCGGAAAGTTGACTGGGTGAGCCAACACCCGTTGGCTATTACCAATCTTTTAATTGAAAAAGACAACCAAAAATAATTGAGGAAAATAACCACACCTTTTAAGGAAACAGCAAAACAAGCCTAAGAAAGGCATGTGCTAAAATAGATATATAGAACAATCAGAAACAGAAAGTACCTCGCATAGCAATTAAAACTTGTAGGCTATGAAGCCCATGTCCCATCCCTGTGTTCCTGTAAAAAAGTAAAATAAGTATTGAACAGTAGTTTGGTGGTTGAAAAGAAAAGAAAGGGAATCTGGAGAAAGGAATAAAAGCTACCATTTCCTCCATAGATCAGGTGCCTTACGAAGGGTACCATCTCCACTGCATGGGACATCACACAGAACACGATCAAATAACAGTTGGCCAATCTTCTGATCTGACTCCATCCTTTCATAATTCCTGTTTAAACGGCATCCAGGGAAGTTCTGTGCTTCGTGATTAGTAACAATTAGGTTGGCCGTGCACATACGTTTTGTTTGGTGGATGAGAAGATTACATCTTTGGACATCAAGATCATTTGCTATAACCTAATAAGAAAAAGGACACTAATCAGCAAATGCTCCACATTTAGCTTGCCCAATCAGAACAGGTCAAATTTAGAAAACTATTTAGTCCAGAAAATCAAATAAGATATTGCATACCTGATAAAAAAATAAAAACAAAAAGGCAAAGAAACATAGAAAAACATGTTTTAGTTAAAATGCCACAAACCATTCCATCAGGTAGTGATCCTGCTTTAGTTGATTGGTGTATGATCTCAAGCAATTGGAATGTTTTCGAACCTGGTGCAGCACACACTGAACAAAAGCAAAGAAAAAGTAAAATAGTCAAAAACACCAAAGTTTTCTTCCAAATGAAGCAAATAGAATTAGGGCTGGTAAAAATAAAATGTACTTTGTGCACTAGAAGTTGCTTACTATCAAGAACAAAATGATCTGAATGCACATCCAAGAAGAGGGGAGGCACCTACGTTGAAAACAACCATTAGAGTAACATAAGATAAATTCTTGAAAGGTTAGAACAACAAGTAACCTACAGGCACTAAACCATTAAAAATCATTTGGAATGATATTGAAGATTGAAAGAGTATGTAAAGTGACCCACCATACTAACAGCTTCCTGTCTTGTGATATTTCCAATTTCATTTTCTAGCTTTAAGAATTCATGGAACCTGCGTGGTTAACATAATCAGAGGAAGCAAGTGACATATTGTTCATAAGAACTAAGTAATATGCATAATTCGTTTCAATTAATTGTTTGACAGTATCCTGTTCAGGAATTCTAATACACACACACACACGCATATACACATATATATATATATATATATATATATATATATAGGGGTAGGATATTTTTACACAGGTGTAAGAATAATAAATTTTACGCTCAATCTTAACCATTGTTTATTGTGCATCTAACGGTCGTAATTTATTGAGAATTAATAATTAATTAATGAGAGTAATCCAATCAAGTACAATTGATTGATACATGAAAATCAACGGCTCAAATTGAGTGTAAGACTTATTATTCTTACAAGAGCTTTTGTTAAAAAAATTCATCAGTTTGGTCAGGTGGGTGTAAATCAACATTCCTTTTGGGGGGTAATTTTTCAATATTAAGGAAGGGGAAGAATATTCAGGGACGAAATGACAATCTTTGAATTAATTCATTCATATATCATGCAGAAAACATATAAATAGATATGAAATATATGCATCCTCGTCATGATTGGGGTGATATCCATACTTAAAAGTCCTGAGTCCTAACACGTCCATGTACATATTGCACTGCTAGAAGGAATCCGTTGGTTGTGTTAGTGCCATGCAATCAAATGCAACTCATAGATCGTCAAAATCTATTACCTCTCAAGTGTTTGGTTCTTCCTGAGCTGCATCCGAGAAAAATTCGAATGCCAAGCAAAATTCCCAGGATACCACGGCAATGGCCTAATAGCCTCTGTCTCACCTCCTTCAACAACCTACAAGTAACAATTCACAACCAAAAATAGAGGCACAAAACGAAAGCAACAACAACAAAACAACAAAAACAAAAGCAGTAGCAACACTTTTATAACGGCCATTTTTGCAATTGACATACCTCAGCACGAAGAGATTGCACAAATTCATTCTCCAGTTGGGAGCGAATGTCGTCAGAGAACTGGCTACTGCAATCACCAAACAAAACGAAACGCAAATTTTATGTGAATATAGTAAAAAGATGTAAACGACAGTTAACGTTGAAAGTGTAGGAATGAAACGGAAAGATGAGTTGATAGAGAATAGAAATGGTTAACCTAGAATTGATTCTAAAGGATGCAGGCAAAGGAGTTCTGAGAACCGTGACAAATTGATCCCATTCTTGAGGATCCACTACCCCTTGCTCCTTGTAATAGTCATCGAAAGCAGGGTTCTCAGTGGAGAACGGAGTCCAATGAGGATTTTTGGTGTCGGAAGAATCAGGATCCGATTTTGAACGCTTCCACACATTTTCTCTGTTCTGACGGAAATGCTTTCTTTGAGTGCGTGACCTCCCGCCACGCCCCATCCTAACCTGCTTATGCTTTGGAATTGAATTGAACTGAACTTTTAAACACGAGCCATGTTTTTTATGGTAGGGTTTTAGCATATCGTGCCATTCACTGATTGGGCCTTTCTCGAAACTCAGCTCTAACCCAAATCATGCCATCGAGTGATTGGGCCCTTGTCTATCTCTCTAGCGAATAAATCTTTCGTGCTACTCTTATACAAAGATTCAGTGCATCTCACTAATGGAAGTATTACATATTATAGGAGAAAAAAAAAAACTTTAAGTAACATGTAATATTTTTATTAGTGGGAAATATTGAATTTTTTATGCAACAGTAGTACCAAAGATTTATTCCTCTCTAGCACTCACGCAAACTGCAACCAGAGAGATAGACATGTAAGGTTTTCCTAGTAACTAGATTTTAAAAATTAAAAAAAAAAAATTGAAGGTAAACATCATTGCAACTGGTAAGGTTTTCCTAGCTTAAGTAAATGCAACTGTGAATCGAGGTATGCAATGGATACATGTAAATCATTGCATACAAAGATGTCAATTATACTAATCATTATTACCGGACAGTAGTTCCTAAAAAAAATTAATATAATGGATACTTATAATTGTTTTAGAAACTACGATATGGTTTTTAGATTTTTTTTAAAGACGGATTTGAAAATATGGAAATTTTCATTAACTTTTGAATACGTTTATTTTTTTTAACATCGCGTTATGCTATTCTCAATTGCAAAATGAGAAACTATTATACTTTTACAATAAGAAAAAAATATTTTTTTTTTGTATTATTCGATATATATTTTTTGGAAAATAATTTTCTTATGTTGTAGGAAAATGCTTATCTTATGTTGTAGAAACAAGATTGTAAGTGGGACCCATAAGTAAGAGGAGAGAGAAAAAAAAAGAAATGGGACCCACCTAGCTTGTGTGTGTGTAGGAAATGTAGTTATCTTATGTAAAAGTAGATAAACATAACCCATATTTTTTTTAATAATAGGTTAAAAATATCGTTAAATATGCAAAAATAACTCATATAAAATAATGATATAAAAGTAAGAGTTTTTTAAGGCACTTAATAATTTATCTTGCAAAATAAATGAGTTGATTAAATAAAAAATATAATCAATTGATTAAGGATAAGAAGCTGTGACGTTCGAGTTCTAAATGCTGACCTACTCATGATCAGGTTCAGATCTCGAGTCAGGCAGTGATATGCAGTTTATCCCCAAACTTCTTAATTGGTCTAAATTACGGATAATTTTTTAATACTACAGGTATACCAACTCGGTATACTCATTTTTTAATACTACATGTAAGGATTATAATGGAAAATGGAAAGAAATTTATCTATTTTCGATATATTGGATGTACCAAAAATTTGCTCATAAATTATATTCATTATTCTATCTGAATGTACGCCCAAATTCCCTCTTTAAGTCACACGGTTGTTGAAATTGGTCATTAAAATAAATAATTAATAGAATAAATCTGACCAATTAAAAAGTTGATAGGATACGTTGCTACAATTTTATTAAAAATTAAAGGCATTATGTATCTTAGTGTCCATTTATTTATTTATTTTAAATAAGAGACAACATGGTATAAAATATCTATAATTTGTTTGATTTTTAAATAATTTAAGTGCTAGTAATTCAAGGAGTGCAGGTGACTATGTAATTTTGTTGTTTTATTATTGCTTTTTTCAATGAATTAAAATAATATTTTGGCATTTGATATGTCGCGTGATTATAAATATAGTCAAATTATTAAATAAATTCTCATTAATGTACTAATATAAGATTGAATGCAAATGTAAAACATTTTTTATGACTAAAGACCAGCATTACAGTCCTGAAAAAGAGCAGTCTTAATTATTTCTAAAGCAAATTAAAAGAATTTTTTTATAGTAATGTACATTAGAGCAACATCTCACCATTTCACTCCAATACGCGAGGCATTATGTTATCATCAAACTTAATAAGAAAAGTTAAGAGGTTGGCTTAGTAATTAAAGAAACATATTCTTCGTCTTAAATACTAAAGTTCGAACCTTAACCAGCACCTATGGAGATTAATTTCCAAAATCCATGCACAATACCGACGTGGAGTATCGTCTTCAGAGATAAGTCTTTGATACAACTGTTGTATTTAAGTGGGTACAACATTTTTTCACTTTTGAAAAAAAGTTCCACTTTTCAAATTTATTTTTGTACCACATTGCACTTTTTTCCAAAATTAAAAAAATATTGTACTCACTTGAATACAACAGTGGTATATTTATCCCATCTTGAGATCATTCCGTGTCTCAATCGAAAAAGTTGACATCAAAAAAATTCTCAATTAAAAAATATAAGCAAACTCTAATTCAACAAAAGGATCATATTTTTAATTTTTAAGCTTCCGTGATCGTGCAGCATGGTCTACTCTAGTGCTTTTATCCAATGCTGATATAAAGATATTATTATACAAATGTGAATTTGCCATATCACATTTATAATTAGAGGTAGAGCTGGCAGGGTAGACGTGGCAAAACTTATCTATTCGTCCCGACTCACTCTATCTCGCCGCCAATCTTTCAAAAATGAGTAGGCTCGTCTCACTCCATATTTTGATATGGATCGAAAATTTCAATCCACCCGATTAGTGGTGAATTGGCGGGTCAATCCGTCTAAAAAATAAAAATTAATTAAAAATTAAAAATAAATATTTTATTAATTTTATAATATTACTTATTTTCATTTCATAATCCCCTTATTTTTTTTCAATCTCACATCTAAATGTACACTAATTTCAGTCATACATTTTTTAGGAACTTATTTTTGCCTCCATATATAGATAATCTTTGTCTTAAATAAAGTTTTTCTTTTTATTTTTTCTAGGGGAGATAAAAAAATTTCATATCACAAAAGCTTAGTGCCAAATAAAGTATTACGCAATAGTAAAAAAAAACTGACCCGCAAGTCAACTCGCCCCGATTCACCACCAACTCGTTTTGACCCACAACTAAGCGGAACAGATTGAGATGGGTTGATGGGTTGAAATGTACAACCCACCCCGTCCCGTTTTGACGAATTTGCGGTTTGATCCGTCGGATTCAACCCATAATGTCATCCCTAATTAGGAGAATAATCTGTTTACAATTTTTTTTTACAAATTACACTAAGTATGACCGGTCATACACTCTTGATTAAAGTATGATCAGTCAAATATAGTATAACTTATAAGAATTTATAAACAAAAAATTTATAAATATAAGATTCCTCTAATAATTATACGAGTTCAAAAAACAAAACACATCGCAAATAACTTAATGGTTCGTGCTAACAGAAACCCAATAAACATATATTATTATATAAGAAGAACATATATCTTACAATCTTAATTTTTTGGTCAAAGTGCGAAAGCATTAAAGCAAGAAATCAGTAACATCCCCTAATTCCCACTTAGGTAGAGATCAAGACAAACAACTTCCAATGAAAGGAAAATAAAAACCTATTGAAAAAGAGCATTTGTTTGATCCCTATCTCGTTAAGAGTGCAAAGGAATATCTTATCTTAAAACTACTTTTCAGCGAGAATTGGTCTGCAAAGTGCACAGACGCAAGCATCAATCACAAATTCACAATGCACAAACAAAATCACCGCTTGTATCAATATCATCGATGTCAGCATCATCTGCATCCATATCATCAAGATCCATGCTACCCCCAACAGACAGCTCACCAACTTTTGGGCCTTCACCTGGCTTCCGAGCCTCTTGAATTATGCTTAGTATTTCTTCAATGCTCTGAGATGAATCATTGACATCATTTTGCAACCCACCTTCACCTTCGTTCATAAATTCTAGTGGCAAGTTCTTTAGGAACCACGGGTGCATTTTAATCTCTGGTATCGTAATTCTCTGCATCAATAATGTAACTCAAAGTTGACATCATATTTATAACCTAATAATTAAATATATAAATTTTATCTTATGCAACAAACACAAATAATTGTACCTTCTCCGGGTTGGCCACAAATATTCGGGATAAAAGGTGCCTACACTCTTTAGTTAAACGAACATAGTCTGGAATAGAATAGTGGACACTAAGAATTCGCTGTCAAAAATTATCCACAATAAATTAATAAATTCCGTGATTGGTTATCTTACACTTGGAAATTCGAGCAAAGGCAATTCATTATATTTGTTGACCCAACTAACCTGAAGTGTTTTTCTGAAATTTCTTGGGTCTTCTGGGTCTTCAAAAGGATAAGCGCCAACCAACATCACATATAAGGTCACCCCACAAGACCAAACATCTGCAACCTAATCATTCATTCTAAAGGATAAGAACATATAGGTGGCCAAATGAGTAATACCCAGCTTACATAATTAAAGGAAAAGCTAGATGTAAAGTTACCTTCCCATCATATTCTCTTCTTGACAAGACCTCTGGTGCAATATAAGCAGGGGTTCCTACAGTAGATTTTGGCTGGGAGTGCAGAACAGATGACTGAAGAAAGAAGCAGAACACTTTGTAATAGGGTCTAACTAGACTCTGAAACATATTTTAAATGAAATTAAGTGTCAAGTTATTGCCTTTGAGTAACCAAAGTCGCAAATTTTGAGTCGAGGTGCTGAGCTTCCATCTAAAAGTGTGTTTTCCAGCTTAAGATCTCTATGGCAAATTTCCTGCATGAAAATATATCTTCAATTCAGCTAAAGTAGTCTGACTGGAATTGAAACATTCATTGAAAAGGAAACAATTTAGATTCAGATTTGGACAAGAATGGTACCATTGAATGGCAATAGCTGACTCCAGAAATCAACTGCTGGAAGAAATATCTTGCCTGTGCAAGCAAAAGAAGAATTCAGAATGAGGTTTTCTGTTTACAAAATAGACACCAGATACAATGACCAAATTAAATACTAACAAACTTATAAATACAAAAATTGAAATTTTATGAGTAAAATATATTAATTACAGGCCTCTATTGAACTACGTTGGAACCAACAGGCCATTCAAAATTTCAACACTAATGTGTACATTTGCTTAAGCAGAAACAGTACTCCTACTGTGCATAATGCAAAATGTACAGTGGAAGCAATCTTGATTACTGTTTTAGAATGTAAAAAATTAACCAATATAATGGAGTCTTGGACAAAAGTACTATCATGAAGCCGCTGAAGCTTTCTGTTATCATTTAAAAGAAATGAACTAATCTACCTCGTCCTCACTGAATCTACCGGCACTGCATATTCTTTCAAATAGTTCTCCCCCTGCAGCATATTCCATGACTATTGCTAGATGAGTTGGAGTAAGTAACACCTGCGATGAATGACCATTTCATATGTTACAAATTATCATGAAAAGCAAGACATAATAAGCAATCAATTCCATAAGAGTAGGAATATAAGAAATCAAATTGAAAAGTTTTCAAGTTCAGTTCTTTATAAAAGATTCTGGAAAATCCTTTCAAGGAAAATAAAAAAGAAAATGGCAGTGAAAATTGAGATGCTTCAGGGACCTATGTATGATAGGAGATAAAGCTGAATTATGAAGGAGAAGCAGAGAAAATGGCTGTAATTACCTCTTTAAATCTAATGATATTGGGATGCTTCAAGGATCTATGATTTATAATCTCCCTTTGCACGTGCTCGTCAATCTGCAAAACCCAATAAAACTCCATTAACTAAGGACAATCCGAAGTGCATATATACGAGATATAACAACAGAAAAGATACACAGGAAGAGAAATGCAGTTTAAAAATAGAACCTTGATGCCTCTCTCAATAAACTTGACAGCGTAGAACTCATTACTCCATTTTTCCCTTACCAGCTTTGCCACACCAAAGTTCCCTGACCCAATATCTTTAATTATCTCATAACTTTCCATGGTTAAGCTTGCAAGCTTTAACTCCTCAGCTAACGACAACAAGTTATTGTATTAATTGAAGTATTTCAGCTAGCTATGGAACTGAACAACCTTCTCTTTCTGCGCGTTTCTCCTTGTACTTGTACATGTACTATTGGTTATCGCATTTTTCTTTTTTTGGCCTCTAGTCTAGAGTCCAATGCTCAAAGTTTTGCCAAAAAAAATGATTGGGTTTTGGGTTCTAGACGTCCTTTATTGGCAAGCCACAATTACAATTGGCTTAAGTAATTGAATTATAATTAATATGCATAAAAATATTTTTTAAAATGTATTATATAATAGTTCTCACAATATAACACTTGTTACTTATAATTCTTTATTTATTTTTTTGAGATATTTCAATTGATTCACCGCTTCACGACTAGTCTGATTCAGGGCGGATTTCGAGATTAAAGTTTTAAATCCCTCTCAAAGACGGTATAAGAGAGGATCGAACACATGCTCTCTCACCCTCACTTATTCAGTTTTCTTGCGTCAATTGAGCTACCATTATTTAGTACGTATAATTATTTTTTAGTATACCAATCTTTATTATTTCTTTGAGACAAGTCGGCTCAAGATATCCGTCAAGAATTAGTCACAGTTATTAATAAAAATATTTATTACAGTTCTCTCCCCACACATTGAGCTTGTGTTGTTGAATGTACCACCATACCCATTAGTCTATAATTTTGCATATATTAGATAATAAATTGAGATTTTATAATAAAATGTGTTTAAATAAAAATTACTCGGCAAACCAAATACACAATTTGATACGAAATTACACGTGGCATCAAATTATTGGTTTGAACTAGCAGCAGCCAAACAAACGTTTTGATCCGACGAAGCAATTGATTGTTCCATGACCAAACCATCCGGTAAGGACAGCGACCCTTACTCGCCCTTCGGTGAACAAACGTGCTCGCTTAAGAACGTGGATCAGATCCCACAAGAGTTACCGGCTTTGATTGTGTTTTGATTTTTTTATTTTAAAATTATTTTGTAAAACAATTATTAAAATAGTTTTTTTATGTTTTTTTTGTTTTGAAAATTAAAAATCAAAACAGAAAATAAAAACAACTCAATCATGTTCTTCAAATTTGATTCTAAAAACAAAAAAATAATTACAATATTTAAAACTTATTTTACAAAACAAGTTTTACCAAATAAATTTTTTTATTTTTTTATTTTAAAAACGAAAGAACTGTTTTTAAAAGCTTGAACTATTTTCAAGTGTCAAAACGCGAGTGCACAAACTGCGACACGCGTGGCGAGTGGGACTGAATGCGTACTCTGAAGCGCAAATGACAAAATAGGTGACTGACATGGGAATGGGGGTACGAGTTACGAGGTGGAGGAGGAGAAACGTAACAAGCCATGCATGAACAAAGTTTTCCCTTAAACAGAACAAGGCAAGCCATTATGTATAACTTTTAGCTTGTTGAATAAGTTTAAAACAACATGCTCACATTACGCGTGAATTGTTACGCGTGAATTTTTAAAACAATCAATTGCTCCCATTAGAAATCCAACCAACATTCTCCAACATTAGCTTTTTTCTTTTAAAGTATATGCCATTTATGGTTGTTACGTTACACCAAATATATATATATATATATATATATATATATATATATATATATATATATATATATATATATTCATTAAATTATTTTGTATTAAAATATTTAGAATATTAGGCAATAATCTAAAAATTGTGTAATATGTGAACATAAATAATAAATGAGAATGATACATGATGAGCCGTATATAATCTATCGATTTATATATATTATATTGGATTTGTTATTTCTCATATTACAAGAGATAAAATTATCTCATCCAACCTTAAAACTACGTCATTTTAAGGGAAAAAGAATTAATTAAGGATGTTTTGATAAAATTCATATAAAGAAACAAATAAATTTATTAAAACATCGTTCATTAATTCCTCTAACCCTCAAAATGATGTAATTTTAGGGTTACAGGCGATAACTTTATTTCCTGTGACAGAAGAAATAATAAACACATGTTATAAACGCTCTTCTTCAATTATTATTAGGTGAATAATTTTTAATATTTATTTATTTTCTATTATATAATTTTTTTTAGCTTTAAATTTTTTTATAAATATTTTTACTTTTCATTTTCCTGCATTAAAAGTTTTCCTTTAAATAACAATCAAAACGAATTATTTTTAATAATAAAAAAGTTTTACTGTAAAAATATATATAAATAAGACATCCTATAAAAAATATTTTTCATATATTTATCTAAATATAAAAGTATTTGAAAAATATCCCTTGAAATGGTTTTGTTGATAATATTGCAATATACTTTTATGTGACTAATGTTTCAATTATCTCCTATACACATCTAGAAGTGAGTAAGATCCAAAATAAAATAAAAAAGATAGAGAAAGAAAAAAATGAGATCCATCCACTTTTATGTGTATACGTTGAATAAGAACATTAACCTTTTTTTTTATATTTTCTTTCTTTATCGGATTCTTTGTGAGTTTCTCAATACCCACTGTTGTGGTGATTTTTTAATTAAAAAAGTATTTAAATAATATTTTTTATTTAATTGTATTAATGACATTTTTCTATTTTATTTATACAAATAATATTAACATAAAATGTATAAATTTTTTATAAATATTATACAAGGCAATATAATAAAAAGTCATTTTGGTAAGTATAGGATATTTTTAAGAAAAGATTATCAAAATATTATGAAGATTGACTTAAAAAATTATTTTATAAAATAAAACATAAAATAGTAACAAATATAATATTTTATATCTTAAAAAAATTAATTTTCATACCAAATATATAATTATTTTTTTCATTGAATTTGTGTATATAAAATAAAAAAGTACATCTAGATATTGATATAAATAAATAAAACGAAAATGAATAATCTAATTATTAAATTTTAAATATGTTATGTTTATTATTATTCTTTACAATATTAGAATTATGTTTGATCATACTTTCAATTAAACATTATCTTTTGAAAGATTTTGATTATAATTTAAAAATAATAATTTGATTTAAATAAGCACTAGATACTTATATAGTAATAAAAAATTTATAGTTATGGATTTATATCTAAACGAGTAGGATAATCAATTTACATTTGAACTCCAGGAACAATATATTAGAAGAAATGGTGGGGCTCATTTTTTTATTTTTATTTTTTAGAAAAAGGCAAGGCATAAAAATCAAAGGATCACTTCAGGAGATAACAGTACACTTCTTCACCAACAGAAAAAGTGTTTTTCCCCATATTAATTCATGAATATATTACGAATATCATTCTGAAGTGTAAATTAGATTTCGTTGATTCATGTGAATTAACGTGAAGAAGGTGGGTGTGGGACCACCACTATCCTTGGGAGGTGCACGGTGGTGGGGCCGGCTTTTGTTTGGTGATTCTTGGAAGAAAGTGAAGGAGAAGCGTACGTGCGTCCAAAAGCAAGTGATTGACATCAACGGTGGTGGTGTGTTATGGGATGGAGCAAATGGAAGTGGATACTTTCTTGAACTTCGGTTCTGGAAACAAGTCATCGCTATGAGTATGACATTTCCTTTACATGGATTTTTGCGACCTTGCCCGGATTTCAGTCAACACCACAGGCAAATCTCATCACTCTAGCTCGTGGGAATTAAATTTTTTGTTTGCTTTTCTTTTTGTTTTTCATGTTAGTTCACTAGTTTAATAAAAAAATATAAAAAAAATATAACGAATTTTATAGAAATTATGATAAATATTATATATTTATTTTTGTGTTTGATGACAATTCACTACATGATCCGATAGTATGACATGAGATATTTGTGTTTGGATTAATCTGTATTTATGTTCATGTTGGTAAAAAAACTAACACAGGCAAAAATTTATATTGTGTTACGTGTTAATTTGCAAACTCGACATTGATTCAGAATTTTATGGTTAATTATGTTTTTCATCGCAAGTTATTCATGTTACATGATGTCATAATATATGATCGTTTGATTATGATTATAAAGCAACATTCACCTCACGTGTTATACGTGTGGTGTTAATCCCAAAATATATGGATTGTATAAGTGTCAATAATACATATAATTAAAGTTAATGAATTTTTCATGTCGTGTTGTGTTAAATCACAAAATAATCAAATCGTATTAAGATTTGACATAAATCTTTATTCATATGGTGATTGGATTAAATATATTTGAATTCATGTTATATCTGTTTTCGACGAGCATACATGAATTATCATCCCTAGTCAAATACATTTGGGAGGTTAGTATTTTCTTTTGAAAATTATTTGGTGTTTGTACTGTTGATTCTAAAAACATAGGATTATTTTAATGGAAATCAATGTTAGATATGACTCATACTTTGCATTCAAAGGATAATTCTTGTTAACGGGATACACATAAAGCCAACGCTACCCCTGAGACCGCAGATGCCCAGTACTATTATGGACTTGTTCGAATTTATTTTATTTCTCTTTTTAATAGTTTAACTTTGGACTCATGAATAATTATATTGTTTAGGTTTTTTAAATTTGTTTATATTCTCCTTATAAATATAATGGTTTGAAATAAAGTGTGGTGAAGAAATTATAATAAAATATTATTGAACGTAGCCAAAATTGGATGAACGAGGATAAATTTATGTCTACATTCTTTCTTCCATTCTCCCTTTTCTGTTTTACAATTCTATGTGTGATTATTTATTACCAATAATAAATTCATTTACTAAACGAATAATTCTGGAAAGGAAATACTTGAAAGAAAAGGGTATTTAAAATATTATTGAATTGTGTATAATCTGTACAAGGGGTTCTCTATTTATAGAGAATACTTGACCTAATTTTGACCTAATGGGCTTGGCCCAATACAACAAATAAATGATTAAATAATAACTAAATAATTATTATTTACAACACTCCCCCTCAAGCTGAGGAATAGATATTTATCATT